GATATCTGTATGTTTCGTAACTAGTTTCGTCGGGGTTTTTTTAAAGTAGTTCACTTTCGATGTTTTCAAATAGGAACACGGTGTCACGTGTACGTTGGCACGGGGATTGGGAGGGGGGGGGTGTCGGGTATTAACTAGGCTAAGGACGGAGATATGACGGGGATAGGAGGGAGGGGGGATATGTGTTTGGCATCACAACCTGTTGCTATGTCTGTAGACTTTCTGCCATGACTGCAGCTATCGTATCGATGAAACAATTACGTTGCTGTCAAGGAGACGCCCGTCTTGTCTCTTTCTCTTTTCTTCTGTTTATTTTGTTGCTCTTGAATTTTTATTTCTTTTGGGACTTGTAAAGTGAGAAGGTAGTTTATTTATTGTTGTTGTTATTTTTATTTTATTTGTTTATTTATGTATTTATTTTTATCATTATTATTTGGTAAGGTTTGCTCCTTCCTTATCGAACATCTATCATCCTTATTTCTCCCCATTTTCTTTATATGTTACTGTCTTAAACACCTTCAACCTTCGGCTTTTTATATGTTGTACCTGTGTTGCAAGTGCAGCAAAATTGTTACTACAAAAGTGGCCGTATCAGACAGGTAGCCGTCATTGTCAGTATAATGTCAAAACAAACAAGGGGAAAAAATACGCTAAGGAGGAAATGGGAAGTGGCTGTTTGTACATATGATTGTCTTATGCAGGTGGCTGTTAAAGTAGATTCTACTATATTTGTGTGCCATGCACTGTCCAGTTGTTGACCTCTGGTGACCATTTAAATTTAATTCCCTCCTTCTTTGGTGGAAGCTGGGTCTGTAAAGTTTGGTAGGTGGGTGGTTGGTGAGTGCTCTGGTGTGGTTTGCTCCTTCTTTTTTTTATCAGACCCTCTATCGTCCGTATCTCCCCTCTATCTGTTTTGTGTTTGTTACTGCTTTGTAACCCCTCTAATCTTCGGCACTTATATGACCTTATCGTGTGGCAAGTGCCGTAAAACTCTCCCCCCCCCCCAAAAAAAAAGGTATGCTTGGTAGTCATGCCCTTTTTAAAAAAACGTTGGATGAATAAACCTTGGGCGTTACTTTTTGCACATATGTCTTCCGATAAGTAAACATTTTGGATTAGACTACGTCCGGGGCTGTTAATGGAAATGGACAATGAACCTATTTTATAGGGTAAAATAAAGTATAACTACCCATTTCGAACTGCCTGTTTAGTGCAGAGTACAGAGTAACTGTGTGGATTACACTAGGGTTGCTGCTATGTTTTACAGGAGCATTAAACGGTGGGTTGATATCGTTGTCTACAAGGAACCAGAGGGGGCGTACTTTACTTTGTGGGTGGTTGGCGGGTGCTTTGGTGTGGTTTGCTTCTTCCTTCCTATCAAACATATATCGTCCTTATCTCCCCTCCTTTTTTATGTTTGTTGCTCTCTTGTAACAACTTTAATCTTCTGGCGCTCATGTGACCTTATGCAGTTGTGAGCGCCGTAAAACCTCTACTAAAACAAGTAACTGTGTGGATTACAGTAGGGTTGCAACTATGTTTTACGGGAGCATTAAATGGTGGGTTGAAGTCGTTGTGTACAAGTAACCAGAGGGGGCCTAGTGGTTAGGCTCTCGGACTCGCAACCGTAAGGTCGTGGGTTCGAATCCCGTCAAGGGCCGGACGTTGTGTCCTTGGGAAAGGCACTTTACTCGAATTTTCCTCACTTCACCCAGGTGGGAATGGGTACCCGGCTATAGACAGCGAAAGATCTTGTCAGTTTGTTAGTGTTTGAGCGCTTAATCGGCTGCTCGCACTGTATGCTCCCCGGGAAGCTGAGAATGTTTCGGAGTGTTCTATGGTCTGCTGGGGTAATAATATAGTGTAAAGCGCATAGAGCCTGCTGCTGAGCGGGGATATGCGCTATACAAATGCTATCTATTATTATTATTATTACTTCAACCGTTTACTTTGTTTGACATGTATCCCGACTTCAGTGCTTTCTTGTCGTATCTCCATTTTTTTTACATTAAAAAAGTGACATCTTCGTTAAGCTCACTCTTTGTTATGAACTGTTTTCGCTGTTATTAAAATGGAGATACGACAAGAAAGCACTGAGGTCGCGGTATTCAAACAGAACTGTCCACATGGCAAGACGTTCGCCGTTGGGTGATATGCGCCTGCCTCCATGACAGCTAGCTCCTAGAGCCTGCGGATATTACAAGAATGTAGACAAGCGGACATGTCGCCCGCGGGCTCGCGCCATCAGAAGTCTGTGTGCGTCTCTCGTGCATTGATTGTGCCAGGGTGGAGAGCAGCTTGTGACATCTACGACACACTTGTCTTTCACCACGTCATTATCGAATGTTTGTCTCCTGGCTCCTTTGTCTTCCTGTTATCTGCATGTGTTTGAATGGGTTTTTTAAAGTAGTGTCAAATGATGGGTTTGTCTATGTGTGCGTTATGTGCAAACAAAAACAATCTCGTTGACAGTTTCGCTCTGTGTTGAAATAAACAAAACAGTATTCTCGACTCCAATGTCCCGAGACCGGTTTTATTGGCTTTCTGGCTTGTCCTGTGTTATAATAATTGTCTACTTGTTTTTAATGGAGAACCCTGTGCGTAAGTGGTAGGCAGGTGCTCTGGTGTGGTTTGTTACTTCTTTGCTGCTAAAGATTTAAGTCCTTATCTCCTTCTCCTTCTTGTTTGTGTTTGTTACTCCCTTGGTATTCCTCTAATCTTCGGCAATTGTATAACCCAATTGTGTTTGCAAGTGCCGTAAATCCCTAACATGCTTTAGTGTAGTTCCAATTTTTTTATTTTGTTTCTGTTTGTTGGTTTTATATTTTTGTACGGATAATTGAATTTCTTTTTTAGGAAATGGGGTTTGTACTTCATTTCCACGCACCATCACATTATGATAAAGTGCCATCGTGACAAATCTTTACTCGGTATTTCTTTCAAATTATGTGTTGTGGTCCTGGTTTAGTTCTGTTTGACAGATAATACCGTTAATAGAGTTTCTGGTCTCTAACAGTGTCGTGTGTGTGTGTGTGTGTGTGTGTGTGTGTGTGTGTGTGTGTGTGTGTGTGTGTGTGTGTGTGTGTGTGTGTGTGTGTGTTTGTGTGTGTGTGTACCTTTCTTCCCTGGGCGGGTGCTCTGGTGTGGTTTGCTCCTTTCCTATCACTATCAGCCATCTTTGGTCCTTTTCTCTCCTCCTTTTTTTATATCTCACCTCCCTCTTTTCTTTGTATGCTACGCTCTGGAAACACCTCTAACCTTCGGCACTTATATGACCTTATTGTGTTGCAAGTGCTGTAAAACTCTTATTAAAACTAAAGGTATCGCCCTTACACCTCTTCTCCATCTTTCTTTTGTATGTTACACTCTAGAAACACCTGTAAAACTATAAAACTAGAAATACTTTCGTGAGTGGTTGGCGGGTGCTCTGGTGTGGTTTGCTTCTTCTTTCCTATCAAACATTTGTCTGTATCTCCCCTCCTTCTTTTTTATGCTTGTTACTCTCTTGTAACACCTCTAATCTTCGGCACTTAAATGACCTTATTGTGTTGCAAGTGCCGTAAAACTCTTACTAAAACTTTTTTAAAAACCTTACTAAAACTAAAAAACCCTTACTGAAACTTTTTTTAAACATTACTAAAACTAAAACTAAAACTCTTGTTAAAACTAAATCTATCGCCCTTATACCCCTCCTCCATCTCTCCTTTGTATTATGTTACACTCCAAAAACACCTGTAAACCTCTAAAACTAAAAATTCTTTTTTTTAAATCTCTTCCCTGCAGGATGTCACAGCTGCCTTCCGGGGGGACACCAGAGAAGACCGAGGCACGCCGCAACATGAGTATACTATACTGTGTCTGTATGTGATCCGGACCTGTATGCCCGGCCGGCTGTCCGTTGAGTGAGGAAGGCCTGGCGGGCGTTTGACTTTGACTGCTCTGCCTGCGCCCACGACATCATGTTGTAGTAGTTCCCTCCACCATACACGTGCGGACACGCACGGACGTTCACGCATGCGTGTGTGTACACTCATACACCTTTTCAAACACTAATACACCCGTGCGCACACCCACATCTCTCTCTTTCTCAGTTTGTCTGTCTGTCTGTCTGTCTGTCTGTCTGTCTGTCTGTCTCTCTCTCTCTCTCTCTCTCTCTCTCTCTCTCTCTCTC